GGCAATATGCTGACTCTCTGTAAACCGCTTAGAGAGGCCTGAAAGGCCTATGAAGCGGTATATAAGTCTACTGCTATTGCTATTGCTATCACAAAGCCCCTGACTGATCCAGGAGAAAGCTCTTTTTACCAGCTACAAGAGAAGCAGCCATTTTAAGCTGCATAAGTTTGGGACAGACCCCTGAACGGCTGAGCAGGAAAGAGAGTGTGTCGGAATTGTTGAGATAAATTTTACTTTTAGAGAACACCCAAAAAGACTTTGAGTAAAGTTAAAATTGAAGACAGAAAAGAGTAAGCGGCAGATTAGCCTGAATTAAAATTATTGTGTTATCTTTTTTCTTTAATTTCATTTCTTTTTTTATGATGGAATTTTTACAAATGCCTCTTACTTTTTAAATTGGACTGGTCTCTTTTCCCCTTCTTCTTCTTCTTTTTTTTCTCATTTTTTGTATTTGTAGATTAAGGATTCCCTTTTTATCGTTTCTCCAACGCGGCAGGATTGTCCTTTTTAACCATTTTTTCTCAACTTAAAGAAAGTTTAAAGAGAGGTCTAAAAGAAAAAGAAGCAACACTGCCACCTAGAGGCTGGAGGCTTAGAAATATTGTTTTTCTTTATATTTGACGTATATCTCATGCTTCAAGGCTTCAGAATTTGTTTATTGAAGGGATAGTGGGAAGAGTACACAGGTGCTCGTCTGGAATGCTATCTGTAGCTGGACTGCAATAAAGAGAAAGCCTTGACTTGAAAGATTATAGTGAATTTGTTTGAAATCTAGTAAAAGGCCTTGGATGTTGTATTGGCAGTGTTTACAATTTGGAAGAATGGCGCAACATGAAGAAGGAAAAGATTTAACATTGAAAATAATATTATTTGAAATTCAAAAAATATTAATAAGCATAGAGAACGTTGAAAAGAGATTAGAGATACTTTTTATACCAGGGATAGTCAACTGTTTTATACCTACTGTCCACTTTTCTATCTCTGTTAGTAGTAAAATTTTCTAACCGCCCACCGGTTCCACAGTAACAGTGATTTATAAAGTAGGGAAGTAACTTTACTTTATAAAATTTATAAAGCAGAGTTACAGCAAACCCCTACCGCCCACCATGAAGGCTGGAACGTCCACTAGTGGGCTGTAGGGACCAGATTGACTACCACTGATTTATACAGTAGTTACTTCCGTAATGCAAGAACTGAACTTCATAGCGAAAATCATTTGAGTCTGAAGAAATACACTTCCCTGTTGATATAAATATATATCATAAATGTATATTTATCAATAATCCCAGGATAAAATAATATGTTTAATAATGCTATATGCAAGAAGTTACCTCTTGTGCAATGCCTCTTCTTTTCACACTTGGCAGGATTTCTTTGTGGTTCCCTGAACCATCCAAACCAAATGAGCTTCGTTTTCGCTTGTTGATGTCTTGTAGGCAAGTTATTNTACAACAGTGGAACAATCTGCCTCTGAAGGCTGCAATTTCTTTATCACTGGAGATTTTAAGAAGAGTTTGGAAAACCACTTTTGGAGGATGGTTTAGCTGGTTGCAAACTGCAGAGGATTAGACAATATATCTGTAGTCATTTCCAACTGCACAATTCTATGATGCTATGTTTTGCTCCAGTCACAATAACAAGAGTTCCATATATTCAGTAAGGATTTCCATCCCATAATTTGTATTAGTCCTTAAACTGCAATTTCATTTTCAAAATAGACATTCTTATTCATCAATTCATTCATTCATTACCTGAACCTAAGCTATCTTCTCTTAAATTTGTCTAAATATACTGCTGGTTGCAAAACAGGATATGGTGGTTTAGTGCAGGTACTCCAAATTAATAATCACAGTCCACGTGCTTTTCCCTTCCAACCTGATCCTTATAATTTTCTTCCTTCCTTTCAATCCTTCCCCATTTCTTATTAATCATAAATCCCTCTTGAGGGTAATAGTATGAGTTTTGTGCCTTCTAGACCTATTATGACCCAAGGTATGGGTCAGGTTAGTGCGAAGATATGAGCTCATTGAGTAATTCTGAACTATTCATTTTTTCTAGGCCTAACCTTCTCCATAGCATTAGCGTTCCGGGGAAAACTGCTCAAAGGTGTTGTGTTAAATTTACAAGTGGTCCTGTTAGATTGGGACCTTAAATATTTTTAAAACTTTTATATTTTAAATAATAATGTTTAAGTTATTTTAATGTTCAAAATTCTAATATTATCTTAATTGTGATTTTTATTATTGGAACTCACCCTGAGAATTGTGAGATAATAGGGAAAAGTATACATCTAAATAAATTATGGTTGTATAAAACATATCACATCATAAAACATATGCACAGAAGCAAAACATTTCTTCTCGGAAGCATTAAAACAGCTCAGTCCTCTGAAAGACTTGACACAGCTGATTCAAGCTTTCCCCCCAGTACCTGTGGAAGGGTTGCTTGAATACACTTTTCATTGTCATCTTCACTATCCTTTAATTCTGAAGAAAAGGGATTTATATAATGCTCCCACCTACAACTTTCCATACAGCTACTACCATGTAAGCAGTGGTGGGTTTCAAAAATTGTTCAAACCTACTCTGTGGGTGTGGCCTCCTTTGTGGGAGTGGCTTGCTGCCCATGTGACCGGATGGGAGTNCATGAAGTAGAAACTTGTTATTTAATAGACATTTGTTCTATTGTAATATGTATATGTGTTGTGCTGCTGTAAAGGTGTTTTCCTTTTGAACATTTGGTTGCTGGGCATTTGTGGCACATGTACCTCTGCGAAAGTTGTATCCTTCCTGCATTGGGATCTGGATCCTTCATGGGTCCTTTTTCTTCTTGTACAAATGCCATCCAAGAATTGGCATGTAGCTATACTCTATCTACTACCAGAGCAATCCTCGAAACTTTTGTGCTGTTAATAGGTCAATCAGGAATAAAAAATGATTAACACTGCCAGAAAGGAATCTATCTGATATAAATCTAAGTTAGGGTATATGACTTGAGTTTTACAATGTAGTTAGATTATGATGTGATTTGTTTTTGAAAATTTCTGGATGCCTTGAATTGCGACAAATACGTGAAATTTACTCATTTTACTGCAAAAGTGCTTCAATCAGAGGCAGTGGGAATGTCATGTTCCATGAAATTTAAATCGTCTGCCTTCTGAAATAATGTTTGGATTTCCACGCTTGGACAGAATGGGGAAAATTCCACCATGAGACTAAAGGTATGCATGTAAAGAACTGTATACTTGGCCTCTCTTCTTTACCTCAGAAACAAAGGACTGCTAGCTCAAACCATAACTCTTGAATTTGCTGTTGGTGATTGAGTCCTGATAAAACCTGATGTGAGGAAAAAACTTAGCCAAGCCTGGGACAGACCCTTGGTAGTTAGCCCTGCTAACCACTGAAGCCCTGCTAACCACTGAAGCAGCAGCCCAAACTGGAGACAAAGGGCAAACCACTACACCCGTGGAAAGTGGTTCCTGGAGAAGATCTACTGAGAATGAACATTTCCAAAAACTGATGTAGTCATGATGATATGCAAAGATTTTGTTTGTGATTTTTTTCTTGTTGCAGGAGTAGCAACTTTCTGGCCTCTTCTATTCCACCTGAAGATCCTAAAAGCAGCTGTACAACTTTGCACTCTATGGATTGTGTTGATTTTGTGATTGTAACTGTATCACTGAATATTACTGTTATTATTGTTGTACTTGTGAACTGATACACACCAGTGGGGAGTACTGGGACACTATACAGGTGAAACTCGAAAAATTAGAATATCATGCAAAAGTTCATTTATTTCAGTAATGCAACGTAAAAGTTGAAACTAATATATGAGATAGACTCATTACAGGCAAAGCAAGATAGTTCAAGCCGTGATTTGTTATAATTGTGATGATTATGGCTTACAGCTCATGAAAACCCCAAATC